ACACGTTCTCTTCCTCCACGACAATGCACCCGCTCACGGTGCTCGGCAGACAAGAGCTGTGCTACATGAATTTCGATGGAAAATCGTCTAACATCCACCTTACAGCCCTGATGATATATATGATTTATATATCATTTCTATATAAAATATATGTGTGTGTGTCATGTATATCTTTTGAAATTGAGACTACTTGGGAATGGAAAGGTTAGGATGGAGGAGAGATTTAAGGACTGGTATGAAAGCACCACGAAGTTTCGGTCTCGAAACTGGGCTACCCTCGACGTTGCGTTATCCAGGGCACGGAATACCTTCTACTACAACTCCTCTCCTAAAGAGGCTCCTCATTTGCCCATTCTCAGCTTGCCTTAAATCTACTCTCTCTGTCGCCCTCTTCACCCTCTCAACTGCAGGCTGATCTTTCGCCGGGTGAACACTATACAATATACTTTATGCGACCACGTGGTTGCTTGCACCACGCCAAGCCGCCCGCGTGGGTACGCCACGCCGCTTGCTACCTAGCCTCGTTCCCACTCGTTTCCCGCCTCGGATACTTAAGCCCGCGTTTCGGCCGGTCAAAGCAGAGTGTGACGAGAGTGTTCTGTGCCGAGGTGGGTCACGCCTGACCCCCGGCCAGGTTGCCGTTTGGTAGGGTGCCGTCTAACCTAGGCGCCCTCGCCTTAACCCGTCTGTCATCTTGTGTGTTATTCTCTGTGTGCTAGCTCTATCAATAGAAGAGTTCTAGCCACTAAGCTTTTACTACTTCCCTGTTACCAATGTATAGAGGTGTTTATATAACCCTTACATTCTGGTGGCAGGCGGTGGTCGCTGCGCCCTTTCGGCCGTGCAGCCGAACAAACTCTTCGAAGACAAACCGCTCGGCTTCGAAAAACGCAAGATGGCATCTTCAAAAAACCGTGAATACACATTTATGGGCCCCTTCTCTTTCATTTCTTTTCTATTTTTTCCTAAATGTGTAGGCCGTGTACAGCCAGCTCACGTTAGTTTTTGGGTTTAAGTGCTAATTACAAGCAATGGCATACTCTCATTCTCATTTCTCATTTTCTGACCTCACTTCTCATTACTGTAAATCGCGGTATGGAGTTAAGCAGTATGAAATCGTTCATTTATTAAGCGTCTATTTAATTTCTTTTCGTAATTAAATTATACTGTTTCAATTGTATCGAATTTAGCGCGTTCGTGAATTTATTCTTTCACGAACATTCACTCTCATTAAATTCATCTCTCTCCATTTTTCTGTCTTGACCTGACCTCAGCTGAAAGTCGTTAATCAGAGTTCACTTGGGGACAGCTGTCGTGACCTGACCTCACCTGATGGTCATTCTTCAC